GAAGATCTTCCAGGGCGAACGTGAGCTGGTGAGGGACAACAAGCTTCTTGGCAACTTCAACCTCGTCGGGATCCCCCCGGCGCCGAAGGGCGTTCCCCAGATTGAGATCACGTTCGACATCGATGCGGACGGTATTGTCCATGTTACCGCGAAGGATAAAGCGACGAACAAGGACCAGTCGATGACGATTGCCTCCTCCTCTGGGCTCTCTGACAAGGACATCGAGCGGATGGTTTCGGATGCGGAGGAATACGCGGAAACTGACAAGGCGAGGAAGAACTTGATTGAGGAGTCGAACAAGGCTGAATCTGTCTGCGTCGACACTGAGAAAGGTGTGTATTGTCTGTTCGTCTATTAGGTCATGATGTCTAATTGTGTCCTTTAGCGATGGAGGAGTTCAATGACCAACTCGATGCGGCCGAGAAGGAAAAGGTAACGAAGCACATCAGTGAACTTCGGGAGATTGCTACTCGAGCCCTCGGCGGGGATGAGTCGCTGACTGCGGACGCAATCCGGGAGAAGATTAATGCCACGCAGCAGGCGTCGCTCGGTCTTTTCCAGAAGGTTTACGAGAAGCGCAGTGCCGAGTCTACTCCAGCAGAGCCTTCATCGACAGAGGCACCCAAGGAGGAGAAGAAAGACTAGGCAATGGACTGTTCCTCCTGTTTCTGGTCTGGTCTTCGCTTTCGACTGCTCTGCACCATGTCGTCTCTACTTGCACTTCCCCTGTGGTCCGCTCACACTTGACTTCGTTCAGTTCCCACGTTGGATATCCGTTTGCTAGATGGGCGAGGAAGAAAATTATCATACGATCTTATTATTAGCTTTTTAACTATGTCTGCACGACACACCACCGTTACACGTACACCACGCACGCTCGCATTACTTTACTTAGCTATTTCTCATTCACACCCCCACTCACGTTGCTTGCATCCGTCGAATAGACGTCACGAGGGGGAAAGCTCCCTCGTTGATATGACGTACAAATAGCGAGATATGTCGGATTCCAGGTTTTATACGTCAGTCAGATCCAGCATGATGCAAGTGCACGTTTAGGCCGGGAGGGGGTCGTTCCCTTGGACAAGTCTCCACGCCGGAGCGTGATGGAAGTAAAGCAGCTCGGAACCACGGTGGAAATTAATTGAGTTCGATTAATCCAATTGATCTGCGAAGTTACATTGCAATCTCTGTTGAAACAGCGAGAAGGAGAGCTGAAAATGACGAGATCCTCTCTCCGTTACAGGACCGGGGTAAATCGATTGGAATCGACTCCGTATCCGAATGGTATGCCGAACCCTTACCAACAAACTGCGAACCGTGCTCAAGTATGTCGCGCGACTGGCGCTGATTAGAACGACATACAGGCTCGGCCGCCGTCATCAGTGCACCGGCAGGAGAGTGGACTGAGTGGGCGCGGGTTGAGAGGAGATCAAGAACGTCAGATATTCCGATGGTGGGGGCCGAGTGACTCCAACACGTTTCGCCCACGAAGGGGCTTCGAGGCGATCAAAGCAATGCAAATGTGTGGGTGACTCTATGGAGGCACAGGTCCAGAATGTTCCGCGTGCAAGCGACCCGGAGATGAAAGAGGTGCGATTTGCTGTGGAGATTTTGCGCACGGAGCGGCACCGGATGAGAAGCCACGGCCGGCTTGGTGAGGAAACGAGCCGGGTGCCCCCCCTTCAAGAATGCAAACACGGTAATAGATGAACCCGGAGTGATTACCGAGGTGGAGAGCGGGAATAGCGGGCATCTGTCACGAAAAAGGGAAGAATTAAATTGGCGATAAGCTCGACGGGGAAGAGAGAGACAAGTCCGTTTGCGAAAGGAGAGAAGATGCTGGGTCGAGGGGGAACGAGAGACTGGCATTCCAGATTCGGAAGCAGGTGCGAGATGGTATGGAGACAAGATGACGAGAAGCCGCACGCAAAAATGAGAGAAAACGTGATCTGAATTTGATTCCGATATTGATGGCATGGACGGGGAAATCGTAGCTCTTCCTTCGATCCGCGTTCACGCTTCCCGCCATTGTCACACCGCTCTCTCTCTCTTTTTTCCTCAGGTTTTTGTCGTATTTTCTCTCTGGAGGTCTGTGTCAAGAGACCTTGAGGATGAGACCGCGATGAGGAGGGAAAATGGAGGGGGAGGCTGTGAGAGGGAGTGGGAGATTGACACACGCTAACACCTTTGACTGCATTTGGATGGCAGTTGGAACGGACCTGACAGGGAGAATTTTGACGGCGATATATAAGACTGTGTGTGCTCAGCTCACCTTCTCGACTCCAGCCCAGCAATGTCTCTCCCTGACCTCGCTCCTCTCTCGCGTTTCCGTCCTCACCTTCGTCCCCTCGACCTCGCCTCGGACAGAGACCCTCCAAAGTCTCCCTCTCCAAGAGCTTCCCATGACATGATTACACCTCCCCTCACTCCATCTTCATCTTTCTCATCCTCGCATACTCCATCCACTCCATCTGACCCATATCTCACTTTCGACTTCCATTCTGCCCCAGAGCCATCAGTCTCCCGTCTAGTCCTCCTAGGGAACGTCCCAAAATCCGCCGCATCAGATGCTCTTAAACAGTCGTTGAAGCAGTGTGGCCCAATAAAGGGTCTCCTCGTTCGCTTTCAGCCGATCCACGGCTTTGTCGTCGTTGCCTTCTACGACTCGAGGGACGCTGTCCGCGCCAAAGCTTATGTCCCGCAGATCTCCGTTCAAGGCGCTACCTTATCCGCTCGTTTGTTATCGCCGGTGATATTAAGAAAGGTTTGCCGGCCTGCCGCTCTCCCACCATTCAACGTGCAACTCACGTGTTGTTTGCTTCCATGCTTCCAGGTCATGTCCGGCCCCAATGCATTCCTCGACGAATGTGAGGCTCTTGTTTCAGTCTCTATTGACGATGGCACTTTGGGCGAGAACCAATTGCGTGATATCCTTGCCTCCTTTGGTTTCCTTCACTCGTTCTCTCCTTCTAATGGCGTACGTTTTTTCCCACTGAACGTTCTCCCCTTGTGCCTGATCGACTGATCGCTTGTGCTAGTGTTACATTGCGAATTATTCAGACTCTCGTTGTGCCCAGGCGTTTGTCAACAGCGTGCATGATTTGCACATTTCTGGGGCCCGCCTTCGCGCCGAACTTGTCACCCCCAAGGAACTAACTGAGGATTTGACCCCGGAGAGCCCTTCCCCAAAGCCTGGGAGAGTCCGCCCGCGCAGCGTAAGCGCGGGAGAGAGCGCGAAACCCAGGGATCTGTCAATCCTCATCCCCCCTCCCTCCGCACTTCAATCTTCAGACTTTACAGCTAGGCCCGAACCCGAGGAGCAGCACGTCCACACCGCGCAACCCCCTACCGCCCCCAATTATTTTTACACACAGCCTGAGCCTTACTATCCCCTCAGCCCCGCTCAACTCGTCTACCCGCTGCAATCGCCAACGACATATGCGTTCCCCCAGTTTGACGAATCCACTGCAATGCATTACCAGTATCACCCATATCCTTATATGTACTCACCGGTCGAGAGCCATTTCCCCCATGCCTCCATGCACAACTATCATTACCCTTCATACCCGACATCGCCGCCCATGATGCACGCCTCCTCCATCGATTACTCGAAGCGCATGCCACAGCATCCTGACAACCTTCACTCCCCCACTCCGCTCAGCCCACTTTCCCCCGTGTTCCCGGCACCCATCGCCAGCAATCAGAATACCCCCACCAAGTCCTCGGTCGCCCCTCGACATCAAAACCAAAAATCTCACCATTCCATGTCCACCCTTCACGTCCGGGCGCCCGGCGTCCCGCCGCCCCCTATTTCTGAGAAGAATCAACTCGATTTGAATAAGATTGAACAGGGACTGGACACGAGGACTACCGTGATGATCAAAAACATCCCAAACAAGATGAGCGACAAGGACTTGATGTCTTTCATCGCCAAAGTCTGTCCTCGACGGATAGATTTCTTGTATCTGCGAATGGATTTCCAGAATGGTAAGTTCGACGTACTCTGACCCTTGTGAAAAACATCCCTAATCGACCACTACAAAGGCTGTAACGTTGGATATGCTTTCGTCAATTTCATCACAGTGGAGGACTTGCTGTGCTTCACCAAGGCGAGCCTGGGCGTTAAATGGTAAGACGCCCATCACTCCACCCCCGCTCGTTTCTCAATCACGCTCCAGGAATATGTATTCGAGCGAGAAGGTCCTCCAGATGTGCTACGCAAACTATCAAGGCAAGGAGGCGTTGATCGAAAAGTTCAAGAATTCCTGTATCATGGACGAGCAAGAGTCCTACCGGCCCAAGATCTTTTACTCGAGCGGCACGAAGCAAGGTTTACCGGAACCCTTCCCTGCACCCACCCACCTGAGGAGGAAGGAAAGAAGCTTGAGCAATCGCGGAACGCTCTATCCTGGGAATGGAATGAGACTGACTGCAGTTCAATAAATGCGCCACACCCCATCGTCCCCACCCCAATGCACCCTTTCCTCGCAACCCTCTCCAATCTCCAGTGCTGCATGTCGCTACTGCTCTCGTTGTTACTTGTCAAAAATCTGCGACCTCGTGGACGGACCTGATTACTGGCCGCTCTTCGCACCATCCCACTAGCTATCGCATCTCAGTAACTGCTGTAATCTGTTGTCTTTTTCCATTTCTCCATTGGACTCGACTGTCGTCAAATTATTCATCGCGTCCTGTTTCCGTCTGTTTACTTTTCGTCCATAGCTGTGTCGCCTCATCGATCGTGTTTGTGCTTCCGTATTAATTTCTGTTTACTTACTGCATACCTTCCTCGACGTTTCCATTTCATGCCTCGTGTCCTGTTCCGTCGTGGAAGTCGTTGCACCCGCTCCTTTTGACCGCGTGTATGTATCATTATCTGCTCGTCAAATAGATCAAGTAAATATGCGTTCTAATCCTATGCGCTGCTGGACAAGGCCCCAGCCAAGAACCCGAGGAAGGAACGGTGTAATAGTCAATTTTTGACAGCTCCATTCATCAAGTCCCGCTTAGCTCAGTGGTAGAGCGCGTCACTAGTACCCAGAGGTTACGAAATGACGAGGTCAGTCGTTCAAGTCGGCTAGCGGGAATCTTTTTTCCTTCACCATGCGGACCCTCCTGGCTTCAACCCGAGAGCCTGGTCATATCTGTGCACGCCGTCCTTGTTTCCAGGCATATAAAAGCGGTGCTGAATTCTAAAAGGTATATGCTTCACTCCATATAAACATCTCCCGGAACGGGGTATCGAGGACAATCATATATGCAATAGTTTCGAGCCAATGATCAATCGTGTGTGTGGGCTGTGATAGCCGCCCTGCTACGCAGTTCATCCAATATGTGGCGTATAAGGAGACTGAACTACCTGAAGAACCCATCACGGTCAATGGTCCGTTTGATTGACTTGACCCAGATATCGTCGGCGTCTTGGACAACTCTGACCTCTACCAAACCCATGCGTCCTTCCAGCGGTCTCTTTACCGCTCCCAAAAGATGGTCCTCATCGAACGGGAGGCACAGCACCTCCAAAAACTCGATCCTCTTCGCGCCGGGTGTTTGGATTCGAACGAGGACGGAGGACACGAACGCGGAGATTTCGTCGGGAGATGGGGTCACCAGCGTAATCGCGGACAGGTTCGGGAACGAATCCTTGTCCTTCAAAACCACGGGGAGATCGTGCAAGGCGACCCGGCTGCCCACGACAAGCGTTTCCACCCCGCTCATCTCCTGGACGGTCTGTCGGAAACGGGTCCAGGTGCTCGCGAGCGATCGCGTCCTGGAGGTCAACACGAACTCTCGGACCGTGCCCAGGTTCAACGGCCGTAAGTCCACCGGTTTACCCGCAAACAGCTGCGTGGGATGTCCACGGACGGTGATCGTCCCGCCATCTGGGTTGGAACCGATTACGATCAAATGGAAGTCGGACGTGATTCTGCACTGGAGAAGCGTGGTTTTGGCGATACCCGGAAGGGCATCTAGCGACGCGGGCAATAGCTCCCGTAGCAGCTTGCCTTCTGCTAAGCTGTTCATGAACAGGTCCACTCGTGAGGTGGAGGGAAGTCGCAGGCATTGGAGGAGGTTTTGAACCGTTTGCCCCATCCTCAAAGACAACCGGCGAAGGTGGTCCAGGGGAAGGACGGCCCCGCAGTTCGGTGGGTCGGGAAAATCGAGGCACTCTATTGTGACGTCCTCCAATAGCGTGTTCGACGCGAGGAAATCGATCAACAGCTCCGAGCGTACGCGGAGGTTGGAGTAGACGAAGTTGGTGACCGTCGTGAGCTGGGTGAGTTGGATCGTGAGCGGCACCTTGCGAAGCTCAAGCGTCCTCAAGGCCTTCGGGTTAGCGGGTATTATCCCGAACCTGAACGTTTCTGGCATGTCCCGAATCACGCTCCGATGCAGGAGCAGCGTTTTCAGACTGTCAGAAGGGGTTTTGAAATCATTGATGATCTCGTTCGGGTTCCCCGCATCGTCGAACGGCTCATCCTGGCCTCCGCAGAACGTAATCCTGCACTGGAGGGTTTTGATTCTGGACGTGTGCTCCCCGACATCTTCCATGAACCCGTCGTCGGTGGGCCGTAAACAGGAAACGTGGAGCGGGGCTGCTTTTGAGCGCTCGAAGATGATCCTCCTCAGCTGGGGACGGTATACGTCGCTCACGATCGTCCAAAGGGACGGGAAGGAGCAGATCGCGTTTCTCCAGTATCTGCATACGGCTGCGGGTGGAGAGAGCGCCTCGTATTGTCCGAGATCGGGCGTGGGGGAGAGCCGATAGGTGATTATCGACGTGATGATTTCGGGCGGGATTCGGTTGACTGGGACCAGCGAGTTTCTGAGCGTTCTTAGAGAGGAGAGAAGTTCGCTGGTCTGGTTTATGAACCAGTCGATCTAGGGAGCGCTAGATCAATACGAGCGCGAGAGGAGAAAATGATTTGAACAACCTCTGTCAGATTCGAAGGGTCACATCTTTCCCTGCCCGAAGGGTGGTTTTGCGCAAGGCGTGAGAATTCGCCCTCGCACTCGCGAAAGAAGGTCGAGATCAATTGTTTGGCGGTGAGCTGGTGGTCATGTACAGGAGCGTTCATCGCAGCGCCAAATGAGGGCGCCGTGGCTGATGCGCTCGAAACCCTGTCAAAACTATTCGTAGATCTGGAAATGATGGACGGAGGGACGCAGATCTCTGCGAGCCAGAGCCTAGAGGGAAGCGATATCACGGAAGGGACTCGATGAGCATCTGAAACACGTGGATCTACTGTACCAGAGCTAGAAAAAGATTCCCGCTAGCCGACTTGAACGACTGACCTCGTCATTTTGTAACCTCTGAGTACTAGTGACGCGCTCTACCACTGAGCTAAGCGGGACTTGGATGAACCTCCTTTTTTGTCAATATAGGCCTTGCTGCCCGTCTGGACAAGAGCCTTCGGACCTCCGTTGGTCGACCCGTTCACAATGCTCAGACTCTGTTACAAACGGTCACCATCTTCTCGACGAGCGCATCTCTACTCGCGTCACGCAGCTTCACCTCGAAGGTGGCTGTCCACGAAGGCGAATCTACGCATTCATTCTCAGTACCCTTTCCCAACACACCCGAATCCCACACCTTTCCAAATATTCCACCTTCCGACGAATGCGTCTCCTGAAGTGATCAAAGCAAGATGTATACAAATCTCTATGCATGGCGTTATATGAGCTAAATCTCAGCCGCCAGACTATGAACTCGTGAAGGTATACCACCCAGACGCAGTGGCTGCTTCTCTGTCTCAAAGCTCCCCACTCTCGGGAGAGCAAGGAGGATCTTCCCGTACAATGCAATCAGAGACACTCACTCCAGAAATAGCCCAAGCGAGGTTCCAGGCAGTTACCAAAGCTTACGATTCCCTCCAGAAGGGTAAGGCCAAGGGAAAAGCCCACTTGGGGGCCAATCTCTTCGCAGACGCTACTGAGGCAAAAATGTCGGTTAGGCGAAGAAGAGAGTTGAGGGCCAGAGCAGAGCTTCGTGTCGGGGACGACGAGAAATGGAGAGAGAGGTTCATAGTTGGGGCAGTGTTCGCAGTGAGTGGGACCTCGGTATGTCTCCGTGTGTAATGATTTGCTGAACCCGTCGCAGACAATGGCTGTTTTTGTGTATCAAACATTCGAGACACGAAGAGAAGGTCTAGCCATCGCCGCTATCGCGAACTCGCGGGCGAACGGAAAGAGGAGACCACCTGAAGAGACTCTCGCATCGCATCACACATCAAAAGACCCAACCATCGGGACCAGGAGCAAACGGACAATCGAGGACGAGAACAGACTAGCCGCACAAGAAGACACCTAAATACATACAACACCACAAATCGTATGCATAGCAATATACATACATCTCACTCTCCACGTCGCTGGAGGGGTTCCGCTAACGGAGCGTCTGCAGCAAGGACCCCAAGAATCGACACGCTTTCCTCGTTTACATGATCAAGCAGCCCTCTGATTTCTCAAGCCTGCGAGTGACCTCGTCGGCACCGATCGCACGACGACCAGACTTCCTGCCGCCAAGCTGCACGATCAAAACTCCGGAGTTATCTGGGTCCAGTTCTGCAATTAAGTCGTGCCTGCGGGGTGAAGTCACACATGAGCACTCTGCGAAAAGAGAGAGCGTACTTTTGCATCAACGCTTCGATGGCGGGCTTCAGCTTGGCAACCCCACCACTGGAATGCAAACCTTTACCTGAATAAAAAGTCGCTGTTGTGAACAGGTCCATCTGTTGCTTGCAGAGGAGAAAGACGAACCGACTATGATGTTAATCGTGGTATCACCACGACGTTTAGCAGCTACAATGGCTCTATCGGTGTAATCGATGGCCTCCTTCACGTATAGCCCGTGCAGGTCGATCTCTCCAGGGCCACTGTCCTAATCACGAGTCAAAACAATATCAGAATACCACCGTGTCTCAAATGGGGGACTATATTCACTTCGTTATTCTCTAATTGCAAAGACAGATCATCAGATCCGTTAGATCATCTGGAGATCATCAATGGCAGAAGCTCGAGCTTACTTGCATAGATCCAAGCACTGGCTTCCGCATTCGATTGCTCCATCCTTGCTTTGTGTTCTTTCCCCTCGTTGGACAAAGTCTTGGCCTTGGCTCCGTCTCCGCTCGTGTACGCACGCTTACTTTCTTCAAAACAACGCGCCATGTTGTCCCCTTCGTCTTTGGCACGGGCGCGTAGGGATGCATAGTGTGGATCATCCTGGTTGATCTGGTTCAAGTCCTGTTATCGTTGCCATCGACGGTGGCGCATGTAGTGGGCGATTTAGACGATAGAAGAAGATCCAAGGTTCGCATGTGCAGTCAGTTCACAGTCAATCGGCCACCGGAAGTGAGGGACGAACAGAACGGTTGTTTTTGGACGGACGAGGGGTATGTGGTTTGTGCTGTTGCTGTTTTTTGGGCGGGCCCGGGGGATATGACTGTGGAGGCCGCTCTTCCTGTGGCTGATGTGGCCTGTACGGTCTGAAGGGTTGTTGCGGGGGTCGTTGCTGGGGTGGTCGTTGAGGGGGTGGCGGCTGAGGCCTATCCTCTGGACCAGAGAAGAGGCCAAAGAAAGCTCCCAGGAAAGATGAGATGATACCCATATTAACGAAGAGGTGAGAATGAAGCGTGCACGTGTCGTCCGGGTGGGTGAAAGTGGGCGTCAGACATTTTGAATGATACGGGAAGGAATCGATGATATGCAGGCAACACAACAAAGTAACAGATACACGACCGTACAACAACACTAATACTTCTTTCCAGCCGCGAGCTGCAGGTGTGCACTGTACTCGTCATATGGTACCTTTGACAAGGGGATTTCCCGCCATAAGTCGGGGGTAAGGAAACCGTATGTCAAGGTGAGCTGTAAGCCAGGATCGTAAACAACGGAAGGAAACCCCATGGAGAGGAAAGGACGCACGGCAGCAAAAGTAGCTTTCAAGAAGTTACCCATAGTCGCAGTAGATCCCTTCGATTGCGTATAACAATCCTGGACACCGGCGAGTTGCAAAAGCCTTTTCGAGGCGGGGGCAGCAACGATTCCAGTTCCTCGTGGAGCAGGGATGAGACGACACATAACCGAT